TGTCACCACGAAACTCTTGTTGAAGAACATCCCATGCAGCCTTGGATGATTCAAAATTTGAGATTCGAGGAAATATTTCGTCAGAAACTGCCCCTTGAATGATACCAAGAGCTTTTGCATCTCTGGTTTCATTAATCTTCATTGAGCTCTTGACTGACTGATGATCTTCATCACTGGAATCATCTCCAGACTCTGCATTTTCAATACCCTTGTCCACCAAGTTCCAAAGATCATATGATTTGAATATGGTCTTCATCTTGATAGACCAGAAATCGTAGTTGGACCCGTTGAAGATAGGAGCCCTTAGGTCTCCTCCACTGCTCGAAGTAGCCATGTGAGACTTATAAGAGCAGTAAGGTTTTCAAAAATTCTGGAATTGAGTTTCCCTCCTTTTTCAGTAGTACGTAGCACACAAAACGCCCAGTTCTGAATTCTTGATCAGAACCTAAGCTCTGAGGCCATGTTAAAATCTAGAATTGCATGAAGTTTATATTTTGGAGAGGGAAAATATTACACGGAAGAGGAAAAGATTTTTCAGAATGTGCAGAGCTCTCTGCACAGAGAGCAGTAGCACAGATATTATAGAGAAAATATCAGAACAACACTTTTTGTTACAAGCTATCTGAGCCCTTAAACTATAAAACAGAAATCTAAGCCAACACTTGTCCTATAAGACTAAGTAATAACTTAACAGTTGATCCCTTCCTTCTCAGCCATTAGATCGAAAACAACTTTCATTTGATTCCAACAGTTTCCACTTCCCTTCAGATCTCCACCATCAAGCACCATGATTCTTCAACCCTACCAACAAATCACCATGAGAGCTAGCTGCTGAAGAAATATAAGAAGAAGATGAAACATCGATTGCGATGGCATGTCTAGAAGTAGAAGACTCCAAAAGTTTAATCCGAAACCCAGATCTGATTAAGGGATTGCGGTGTTAAGGATTTGTCAGGATAAATAATTGAAGCATTCGGTTTTGCTTGTCAAATATTATTGGACGATATAATTGAATCCCAAACCCAATCAGAACCATGTAAAACTTAACCTTAACAATATACTGCCGGCGCGTATCGGACCTGTGATATGCGTCCAAATTTTCTGATAAGCTGGCATGTCTGTGCTTGTCAGACATGGCTTTTGTTTTATCTTTCAAATACTCGTGTCCTTGGTGTTGCTTTCCACTAATTACGGTACTTCTATTTTCCCAATAAGATTCCCCCGATTCTTTTGGTAAAGATTTTAAGAATCCATAAATAATGTCTGTTTATCATTATGATCATTTTTTATCAAGTATTATTTATATTTAATTTTAAATAAAAATATTTAAAATAATTTTTAATTGCAAAATGTATAATGAACAGACACGATTTATAAATCCTTAGATTCGTTAAGAATCCGGATTCTTCATTCTCAACTGCTACTTTCCGTTAATTATATTTTTTGACAACTGTTAATTATTCTTTTGGTTGCCACTTACAATCTATTATGTACTAGTAGTATTCTTCTTTACTTGTAAATAAGAAATATTAAAATTTGGTTCTTGTTAAAAATAAATTTGAATTATTGCCTATTACGAAGGTTAACACATTTCTCTTGCCTTCGTTTGTTAAAAAAAAAATAAAATAATAATAATAATATTTTTTTGGTTTGTAATTCCATTGAGCAGTGCTTTCACATCCACTATAAATATATAGCTCCATGTCCATCTCTCAACCCCAAGATTGAGTATCATCTCCCTCGTCTCAATCTGCTCTCTCTCCCTCTCTATCTGCTTCTCTCCAACATCCTCCTCTCATACGAACTCCAATATCGACGCTGCCCACCCCTCTCGACCTGGAGGACGTAGATCTGCAAACCCAGTTCATCCCATCACATTATCCAACGCATGTGCAAGCGCCCAGATCGGCAATTCCCAGCTCTACAAACTTACAGATCTACAATCCAGGCATGTTCTTGTGTTATTGGTCGTTTTCTTTACTGATATCTGAACTGGCAAGAGCTCCTATAAAAGAGATGAAAAAACAGGTGAAAAACAAAATAGATACCCAAAACAAAAGAAAGTTGCACCAAGAATGTGAAACCCACATTGGAGAGGTCTTCATTTGGGATCAAGAGAGTCGATTTTCTATAGAAACAACATACCTATTCTAAATTGGACTCTCATGCTAAATTTTACACCCTTAAATCCATAAAAAAATCCGTGTTTGACTATCCTTTTGCCGACAGCTTCCGTAAAGGAGACTGACCCAACATTAGTAACTGCCTGACTGCTGTTGCTATTTGAGTGACTGTCTACTTGTGCTTATAATATACAGACATATCCATACAATTATGTTATATGAGTTGAGAGATGGGGGACCCGACAATTTTTACACATAGTATAAGGCTCACTTTGTATGTATTTTTAACAAATTTTTAAAGGAAATTTTAATGAAAAGGCTTGAGCCAATAAATATTTAATCAAAAATTATTCTAAAATGTTATTTAACCAAAAGAACTTAAAGTTTAACAAAAAATCATTCAAAACTATAGTCCACAGGTCAAACTTACAAGCCCAACCCACTACAAATCTACAGTTCCGTGAATAGCTCTAAATGATTTCATATTATCTTGATTTTTCACCAACCTCAACCCAACATGAAACCTCCATAATAACTCTCTGTCTTCCTATCAAATTGAATTCTCCCATTTCAAAAACAACCAAATCAAAGTTGAAAAATGAAGCATTCATTAGCACAAAGCTGTCGAAACAAGTTCAAAGAAGTATAATGGTAGAAACCATCAAAAAAGTTTAATAGCAGAAACTAGCAAAAAAGTGTCTGGATAAAAAAAAGAACTAAAACATAAAATTGTTTTTGGATAACCCAAGACATAACACTGCTTCTAGAAAAAAAAAAAAATCAGATATAACATTTGTTTTGTCTATGCACAAACAAACACTGTATCTGGAAAGAAAAGAACCAAAATCTAGAAACAATGTCTTAAATTTCAAAAACAGTGACTTAGATTTCAGAAACAGTGATTTAATTCCAGAAACAGTCTATGTTTTAACCTTTGACTATTTTTTTTTCTTTCATATATTAGTTGATTATGTTTAAGAAACATGATGCTTATTTTTCTTTGAATCCAAATAGTGAATTTCACTATTTATTTTCTAGCTTATGTTTAAAAAACAGTGTGTTTATTTCATTTGGATCTAGAAACAATGACTTAGATTCCAAAAACAGTAACTTAGATTCCAGAAACAGTAACCTAGATTCTAGAAACAGTGACTTAGATTCCAGAAACGGTTTTACTTAAAATCCAGAAACAATTTATTTTTACAGTCCAGAAACACTGACCCGTCATTATTATTGAATAGCATGCAGATCTCAAATTTATTTACAGAAGAAACAAACGATGAAAATTGAAAAATAGTACCTCGAATACACTATAAATAATGACGACGATCACATTTCAACGAAATAATACAAAATATAAATTAAATAGCATGAGGATCTATATTTTTGTTTGAAAGAGAAATAAGGTCTGCAAAATAACGATGAACTTAATTAATGAAGAAAATTTGGAACTCAACCTAAAAAAATTAGGGGTAAAATTGACAAATCATAATTTATTATATTTGGGCTATTTTTAGTTGAACTACTTTAATATGGGTCTTCTACTAATCATTAAACAAAACTTATAACATGTTTTTTTTATTAAAATTAAAATTTTTCAAGTAAATTTCATTAATTTTCCTTTTTTTTAAATGAGATTTTATAAAAAAAGTTATTCGCATTCTAAAACTTTTATTACGCATTACAAACATTTTATATTTAGAAAGAAAAATATATTTATTAAAAAGTATAATAAAATTTTTAGATTGTCAATAGGCTTTTTTTATTAGCATTCCACAGAATGTTGATTACATCTTTCATTAAAATTTAATATTAAATAACTTACATACCTAATATGTAATGACAGTTTCGACCTTATAAATTTAAAAAAAAAAATCCAAATTACTTTTCACATGTATATCATAAGTTTATTTATCTTCTTCAACTCTCAAAACCACTCTCATCCTCCATTGTATAATTAATGAAATTCCAAACGTGTTAATTGAAAAAATTATTCTTGACGAATGAAATGTGAAATCAACGTTTTCGGAAACTTTACATAAGGTAAGACTTTGTATTTTCATTGTTTTAGTGATTTCAACGACATCGGTATGCATATAGTTGCGTTATGAATGATATCCATTAAAAACAAATATGATTGATGATGAGAATCACACCTAATAAACCTTAGCCATATTAGATTACAAAGATCCCTTGATTTTAAAAGCAGCGTAACAACCTAATTTCTTCTCTAATTAAATGATTCAATAACTAAATCCATTCCCATGATTCGATCAAAGGAAAAGAAGAGGAATAATCATCAACCCTAATATTTATTTAATCCCCATTACCCAATGATAATACAATAAGCCTTGTCAATAACATTTCTATATTTTTATGTTATTTCATTATCTCTGTTTTATTATAAAAATTTGACTTGATATTTTGTTATTAAAAAAAATTCGACTTGATACTTTGTTTTATCATTTTATCTAAATTACCTAATAACAAAATCGCTTTGTCAACTTAAGGAAAGTAAAAATATAAAGTTAACTCTGTCAATGAAGTAAAAAAATTATCAAATTAACTCCCAGCCAGGTGATCATGATTCATATTAGTTGTTATTATTTTTTCTTTCACGTTTCTCTCAAATAAAATAAACTTTTAGTGACAAAATAGTTATCCAAAAACAGTGGCAAAATACATGAACATCCTTTTCAACGACAAAACAATAGTTTGAAGGTCGTCACCAAAAGATTTTAGCGACTATTTTATATTCTATCTTTGTAAATTTTATTTTTAAAATTGTATAAGCACATGCATAATGTTGTACAATTGCTAGTTCTTATTAATTAGAGCAGGGCATATTTTTGTATATTTACCTATTTACAAATTCTGCAGATGGAGCTTTATTGCAAGTGACATAAAGGAATTATGCATGTGCACTATGGTATGAGTTCAATTGTCACTTATTTTGTTCTCCTAACAGTTAACTATTAACCTATTAACTTTATCGTTTGTAAAAAGCACATATATATATATATATATATATTTATTTTGTTATCAACTGTGTCTTTGCACCTCTACCAATTGACTCTTGTTTGTTTGTCTTGATCTTATGTTGATTATTTTATTCTTTATTTAAATAAATTAATTTACAAATTATTTAAAATAATTAAGGAAAAGATGAAGTCACTGGTTGATTTTTGTTATTTTATTTTTTACAGCGACATCAACTACTTTGAACGTCGTTTTTTTTTTTTTTTTTTTTCAATTAAACTGACTGATTCAAAGAATTCTGAGTTGGGAGAGGTATTTTATGGTATTTTGAAAGCTTCACCTATTTACTATTCTCACATGATATACATGAACTAATTTAAGCCGTCGTTTCGCAGTAATACTAAGAGAACTGCCGTAGTCCAGCAAACTCTCCTAAAGAAGAAAAGAAAGATAGTTCAGCAAAACCTCTCCTCTTAATTATACAAATTAATATTCGTATCACTATCGACCTAGCTAGCCAGTAAGTTACTTAATTTACTCCACTGTCTTCCAGCGCGTTCATAATTTTATATCTTATTTATCCTCTTTCTTCTTCCTTCTCTTCTTCTTAGCCTTATGGATATTCTTCTTCTCTTTCAACCCAAACACCAATGGAGCATGGGGAAGTTCTAGCAGATTGCATGGGAACCCAAAAGGCACATTCATCTCCTCCAACCCCTGAATGCGTACATGAGGTCTTCCTGAGTTTTAGGGGCGAGGACACCCGCGATGGGTTTACGAAATATATGTACACTGCTTTGAAAAGGAAAGGAATCAATACATTTCGGGATGACGATAAACTTGAGAGGGGAAAGACCATTAAACCAGAACTCTTGAAGGCAATTGAGGAATCGAAGTTGGCAGTCGTCATTCTTTCAGATGACTTTGCTTCTTCAACGTGGTGTTTAGATGAGCTTGCGCATATCGTAAAGTGCAATGAAGACAAGGGGCTTCAAATTTTTCCAGTTTTCTATTACGTTGATCCATCTGAGGTAAGAAAGCAAAGAACAGGAAATTTTGGCAAGGCCCTTGCTAAGCATGAAGAAGATTTCAAGAACGAAATCGGGAAGGTGGAAAGGTGGAGGGAAGCTTTAAAGCATGTGTCGAATATCTCCGGATGGCATATTCAGAAAGAAAGGTACGCACTTCTCTTCTCAATGAAGTAATCGTATATCTGAACTGTTTTGATAACAATATATGCCGTGAATTATGTTAGACATTTAATTTTGAAATAACAAGTTAAATGCTTGTATCACATTCCATAAACTTTACTATATAGATTTCCAGATTTGTAAGTGATAAGGAAAAACTTTTTATATGAAGCCATGATGAAATACACCAACTGATCTTCTCCTTCTGTAGTCCAAAGTGCCCAGGCAATCGATCGGTCAAGCATTCAGAACAGAAAACAAGCCATGATGAAATAAACCAATTGATCTTATATATAATAATCCTCCTATCAAAGAGTAATTGTGGGCAATATGGAGAGAGTGGGTTATAACCTCTCTGTGTTGGTTATTCCAATATGTCGTTTCCAAATAAAAGTCCTAATATATCTTCCTAATTTAAATGTAACTCTATTTTCCGTCAAAGAAAATATAACTCTGTTTATTTTTTGAAAGGCTTAAATGTTAAAATGGTCCCTGTGTTTTAGTCATTGGGTCAATTTAGTCCATATGTTTTCAATTTGAACAATTTGGTCCTTGTGATCATCTCCGTTAGCCAATTACACATATTTTCATCTAATTTCTATAAAGGAATTTACAAATTATTATAAACTTTTTTCATTTAAAATATTTAAAAAATGAAATAAAATTAAAAATTGAAATAAAAATTATTCTCCTCCCAACTCCCTGACCTCCTCCCTAACTTTACCCCCTCTCTTTTCTATGTCGCAACCTTAATCATTTTTTAGATTGGAAGTTTTATCTCTTATATGTGTTATTTATCATTGATTTGTATTTTTTTGTACAGAGAAAAGGTAATTATATCTTATATAATTTTTCTTACGAATTTTTTAAAAGTGATTGAATGAAATGTTCTTAATTGGCTAATAGACACAAACACGATGGCTAAATTAGCCAAATCGAAAACAAGGGGACTAAATTGGCCATATTGCTATCACACAGGGACCATTTTGACATTTAAGCCTAATTAAAATGGCAAACTCACATAAGTATAAAATACTTTCATTCTTCCACATAAGTGTAGCCAATTTATCAAGCACAATTATAGTCTGACGTGTTATCCGATAGACAAATTAATCCGATACAACACCAAACACCCGACTATTTAGTTATTATCATCCGACGACTATTTATTCGATTCAACTGAAATAATTAGTACAGTCCGAGTTGCCAAACGAAGCCTTAGAGAGTAAAGTGACCGCTACCACCTACCACCACAATTGTTGCCACCACCATCGCCATAACCATACCCTTCACCATAGTCACCACTATCATTACAACTATTGCCGCCAAAGCTACCACCACCACCAAATTCGCAACTGCCATCACTACCACCACAACCACAACTATCACCACTGCCTTTACCACCATTGTTACCTTTGCACCCAACCACCACATCCCACTATTAGCACCACCACCATACCTCCACCATTACTGCTACCATCGCCACCACTGCAACCAACATTGTCCTAGCCACTGTTGTCCTCGTTCATACTCCTACTACGTACCATGTCCATTTTGTCATTGTATACAATTACAACATTTTACATTAAAATTTACCAAAATACTTTTACACTACTTTTCATACTCACACCACTTTTAAAATACAATTAACCAAATGCTCGATCTGCTTTACTTTACAACTGATTATTCCAAACTGGCCCTTAGGGTTCAGCCAAATAAATTCTAAAACATCACTGGGCTAGGTTTTGTACCAATTCTTTTGTTTGCTTCAAGTACTCCATATCTTTTCTTATAGTCTCTTTCAAAGCCTTTCTATGTCTTCCTCTACCCCTTTTGCCCTATGCCTTCATCTTATAGTCGCATCTTCTAACCGGAGCATCTGTAGGTCTTTGGCTCATGCGTTCAAATCATCTTAACGGATTTGCTTTCATTTTATCTTCAATTGCGGCCACTCATACTTTTCCTCGGATATCCTCATTCTTAATCTTATCCTTTCTCATGTGCTCACATCCAAAGAAGCATGCTCATCTCTGCTACACTCATTTTTTGCACATGCTGCTTTTTGACCACCCAACATTCTGTTCCATAAGTATCGTTGGCCTTATTGCCATCTTATAAAAATTTTCCTTCAGCTATAGTAGCATACGCACAACACACCCCATGCATTATTCCACTTCATCCACTAGCTTGTATTCTTTAATTGAGATAGTTTGCTTGGATCTATCTTGCAAATAATGAAAAATTAGATTGAGATCTGCATCAGAATAAAAAAGAAATTTCACTTCATAAGCAAACTATCCTGATTTCACTTATCAGATAGTAAACTATTCTTTTTCATAAGCAAACTATCTTGATATGATTGGTTAGATAGATTCACACTATTCTTTTTTTCTCACCCTTATTTGTTTTTAACATCTTATTTATAGGTATATTATCCATTTATGCATTTGCTCCTTTAGTTAGGTCGGATGATATGCAAGTGGGTTTATGTTTGTATGTTAGCATATGTTTGTAATGCTCATGTGCTGCGTTTGTAATCACTTCAATCAAACTTTATGTGATTCACTTTTTCATTACTTATGCCTAAATCCCTTGGAATTTGGAAGTTCCTCGCCCCAAACACACCATGAGAAATGCATAACATTACAACGGGCGAGGAATTTGCAAATGACTACTTGGAAGGCATCATTTACAAATCTCTACCACATACCTTTGTCATGCCCTTGAGATGCGTTTTCTAATTCCTCATATCTACCTTTGTAGGGGACGTTGTTGGTTTCTTTAAGAGTGAAATTGGATTTCAGAAAATAAAAAGATAAAAAATTGTGGGGTGAACTTGGATAATTGCAGGGTCTAGATAGAAAAAAAAACTATTCTTTCGGACTCATCACACATTATTCCTTTTCTATTTTTGTATTGATGGCTGATGGGGACTTCTTACTAAAAATGCTTTATTATTTTTTGTAGGTCTTATGAATCAGAAATTATTCAGGACATTGCTCAAAAGATTTTAGATCTGTTGAAACCGTTACGTGCAAACAGGGATTTGATTGGAATAGATTGTCGGCTAAAGAAAGTGATGCAGTTGTGCTTTGATCCAGCGCCATTATCCAATGATGATGTTCGCACAATAGGGATATGGGGAGTTGGGGGCATAGGAAAGACAATTCTGGCACGACAAGCTTTTGAAAAGATCGTGTTAGAGAGGAGTGAGGAATTTAAACACATATGCTTTCTTGACCGTGTAAGAGAGGAATGCGGAAAACATGGCCGAGGTCTAGTTTACTTGCAAAATTATCTTTTTAAGACTCTGCCAGACAGCAATAAAGATGATCGCATACAAGACATCCCTAAAGGGAAAGAGCTGTTAAGTGCAAGACTCCGTTTCCATAAGGTGCTCATCGTACTGGACGATGTTGATGATTTTGAACAGATCAAAGCTTTAGCAGATTGTTCTTGGTTGAGTCCAGGAAGTCGAGTCATTGTAACAACCAGAGACAAGACGACGTTAAAGAAGTGTCAAGTAAATGATGATAAAATATACGAGGTTGAGAAACTGACTCCTGGAGAAGCTTTTCAGCTCTTCTGTCGGAAAGCCTTTAAGAAAAGTCATGCTCCAGATGATCATTATAAAGACCTGTCTGACAAATTTGTCGAGTATGCCAGTGGCCTCCCATTGGCTCTTCAAGTGCTAGGTTCATACTTGAATGAGGAAAAAGATTGGGCAGAAGTGTTGGATAAACTTAAAGAGTATCCTGAAAAAGGCATTGATGGTGTGCTTGAAATAAGTTGTCGTGGATTAGAGCACACACAAAGGGAAATCTTTTTAGACATTGCGTGCTTCTTCAATGGAGAGGATGAAGTTCGTGTTAAAAAGATACTAGAAAGTTGTGGCTTCTATCCAAACAATGGTATACTTGACCTCGTTGATAAGTCTCTAATTACAATTGAGCACAATAAACTGTGGATGCATGATTTACTACAACAAACGGGTCAACAAATTGCTGTCAAAGAATTTCCTAAAGAGCCGGGAAAACGTAGCAGGTTGTGGGTTAATAACAAGGCTTACAAAGACAAAGAGTCGTGGCATAATGAAGTACTCACAGAAAATACTGTAAGTATTAATACTAGTTTGTGAGTTAATTATTCAATTAAGGGGTTATATAATTGATCCAACATACCTTTATAGGTGCTTATAAGACTTTGTCAATTTTTTGTCTTACCAGGTTGCTTATATATCTAACTTTTGAACCTTATCTTTTTGGCATAGGGAACAAATCTTGTTGAAGGCATGTTCCTATGCTTGCCTGAGACGAGACAAATAAAGTTGGATGCTGACCCATTCTCAAAAATGTACAACCTAAGATTGTTGAAGATTTGTAATGCGAACTTTTCCAAATGCCCTGAATATTTCTCTAACAAGTTACGGCTTTTGGAATGGCATGAATATCCGTTAGAATGTCTGCCATCGAGTTTTGGACCACATCAGCTCGTTGAACTCAAGATGCCTAACAGCCGCATTAAGCAGCTATGGAATGAAAGGGTAAGACACTCTTTACTATACCTATTTTTTATGGCAGTGAAATTATACGCAGAATTAGTGGAGGAAGATGTTCAGGCTAAAATATATTTTTTTTCCTTTCCTAATATCTCATAACAGCTTCCGCTGATGGAAAATTTGGTGCAAATCGATCTTTCCAACTCTCAAAGCTTGACAAAGACTCTGGACTTCAGTATGGTCCCAAATCTAGAGGAGCTGATCCTTGAAGGCTGTGTGAAATTATTAGAGCTTCACTCGACAATTGGGAGCCTGCAACACCTTCGTTTATTGAATTTAAAGGGTTGTGAAAGTCTAGATAGCCTTCCCTCTATCAGCTTGGGATCCCTCAAAACTCTTATTCTTTCGGGGTGTTCAAAACTCACTAAGTTCCCAGAGATTGTGGGAAGCATGGAAAAGTTGTCACGACTTTATTTAGATGGAACAGCTATAATAGAGCTGCCGGTAAAATTCAAGAAGTTGAGAGGTCTTATTTTGTTAAATCTGAAAGGCTGCAAGAACCTTCATTTGAGTCGTTCAAGCATCCTTGGTAGTTTGACATCTCTGAAAGATCTCAATTTGTCTGGCTGCTCGCATGTTGAACTGCCTGAAAACATAGGGAACTTGCAACATTTGGAGGAGCTTGATGCCTGTGACAGCGGCATAAGAAAAGTTCCCTCCTCCATTTCACGTCTGAATAAGCTTAAACTATTATGTTTAAATAGATGTAAAGATGAGCAAATGGGTTTGCAGTTGCCTAACTCTTTCTCAGGTTTGACCTCATTGTATAGATTAAATCTAGGTCAATGCGGTCTTGAGGAAAGAGCCATCCCTGATGATATTGACTGCTTATCTTCATTGTTGTATTTGGATTTGAGTGAAAACAATTTTGTGAGCTTACCAGCAGGCATCTCTCAACTTCCTGAGCTTAAACAACTTTCCTTGTTTAGGTGCAGAAATCTAGAGTTGTTACCAAAAACTCTTCCATCCAAGCTAACGCATGTATCTGCTCGTGAGTGCCCAATGTTGAAAAATTATTCAAGTAATTTGACAATACGGGCTGATGACGGTTTCTGTCACATAGATTGTGGAAACCCTTGCGAAAATGAAGAGAACGAAGACTACAACCATTTTCCACTTCCAATTCCAGAAGACCATGCTGAAACACACTTTCCTAAGTACATTGAGGTACTCACTCACCACATTGATCTTTCAATCTAGCAAGCTTCCTCATTTTATATCATATAGCCACACTGACGTCTTTATTTCGTCTGATTTTTCTTTTTCAAATTTGCAGGAGCGAATAAAAAGTGAAGAGTCGTTTGAATTGCGTTTTCCTCACAGTGCTATAATTCCCGACTGGTGTAGTGAATATTCAAGTCGGGATTCTGTAACCATCCAACTATCTGATAGCACGTGGATAGGGTTTGCCCTGTTTGTTGTTTTTGAACTTCTCGTGAAGGAAGATTTTGATAACAGTTGGGAAATGAAAGACACTTTTTGCCATTTTAGCACCTCGGAAGATCCTCTAGTCCTTCATAAGTTTAATAATTTCAGAAAGGGGTCGTATGGACTTTGTTGCTATCAGCCACGAGGCAGGCAATTTGCACGGCAATTGAGTACAGAAAGTAGGCTACTTAAAGCTTCAGTTTCAACAAATAGACCTGATCTGAAAGTAAAAGGTTGCGCATTACAACTAATATACCAAAAAGATGCTGCAGCGTTTGTTCGCGATTTATCAGAATCTGCTAATGGACATCTGAATTTGAATTTTGGTCGACATTGTAAGGGAATATTGGATCGGGCAAGGGAACTGAACAACTCTGGTGAGGTGACCGTAATTGGCTCTAATCTACAAGAGCTAGGATCAACTTCAACTTCAAATCAAGGCAGCAGTAGCCAAAGTACTACTTACTCTAACATCGAGCAGTCAAATGGGGAGTTACAGCTGTTGCTTTCAGCACTGTATGAGGTCTCTCACTCTCTCTCTCTCTCTCTCTCTCTCTCTCTCTCTCTCTCTCTCTCTCTCTCTCTCTATATATATATATATATATATATATATATATATCTCCCTCCCTCCCTCTCTCCCCCTCCCCCTCTCACTAAAAGTTTAATTATATATGTACTGTGTAGGGATGCAATGGACGCGAGAAGAATTTTCATTTTATTTTTTCTCATCCTATAATTTCACGCTGGTTCATCCATCACTATGCTGGAGGCGTAGCACTTTGTCACCTTCCTCAACACTTATATGATGACAGGAGATGGGTAGGATTCGAACTATATGTTGTCCTTACCTGGTCTTCATCTGATTACAACAATCCTCCCCATTCTGCATGGCTCCATGTTGATTTGTGTTCCCCTGAAGGTCGTATAATGCATAGGTGCATCAAAATACACAACCTTGGACAAAAGCAACTAGTTGTTCTGCACATCCCACGTGTTTGTTTTTCACAACACGAGTTGGATCAATGTCAAGGTGTTTGCGCTTTGTTTGGAACCAGTACCCTTGACGTGGAAGTCGAAGTGTGTGGGAGCCGTCTGGCATATGAGCAAGACTTGAAAGAGTTAATCAAAGCATTAGCAACTGAATGCACATTCAAGGGACCACTCGACCTACTTTATGTGCAGGCACGAACATATGTTGAAAACATGGTGGAAAGTCCACTTCGTGAAGCTTTGACGGTTCAACGTGAAGCACTAGTACCTCAATTCAGGTTAGAATTTTTTTTTATTTTTTATTTAAACACCACCTCAATTCAGGTTAGAATTTTTTATATTTAAACACCACTCGTATCTTAATTCACCCCACACTTTACTTGATATTTTCGTCTTTTCTCCCAAAATTGCTCCTATTCTAATACTATCACATCCACACCCACATATCATTCTGCGCATTTGTCCATGTTCCATGGGTATGAGTTTGGGGCCTAAAAAGCATGAGAGGAAACAATTGGGGCTGATTTGGGTTTGGATTGCACTCAGCAGACATGAGTATGAGTTTGGGGGTTCTGCTAGGTCCATGTGATCATGCATCATGTTTGTGAGTTTTTTTTCTTTCGTTCTTTTGAGATTTGTAAGAGGCTAAAAATGGTGTGTGTTTGTTATTTCTCTTTTTTTTTTTCTTTCCTGTATCTACTTTTTGAAGCCTCAATGAGGATCGTAGGATTAAATACCACAATTTTAGTTGTTTGCACAAGAAGTCTGTGTGTGACTTCGGGCAAGAAAGCACAAGAAGTCTTAATCAGTTAAAAAAATTTAATAAAGAAAAGTGATGGGTGAACGCCGATAGTGATGTTTAAATATAAAACCCCTATACTTAATTTCATGCGCTGACAATTTGTCATCATGCATCACAAAGTTAATTTTCAATCTAACAAATATTTCTGTGGAATATTAATGCAGAGAAATCTGGGAAGTTTCTAAATTGTTCTGGCAAGATCTGCTTCTGAACTCAGGTCCTAAAGAACAAGTACATGAACAAGATTTCACTTCAAGATTGGACTACTACATGTGCTATCTCGAACAAAAGCAAGTCCTTATGGAACCACTTGGCCATCTACTTGTCCATTCCAAACACTATCTTTTGGAAAATGGGGATTCCATCCAACAACATGATGCGGAAAGATATTCAGAATCATTGGATAGACAGTTATACATCATGGCTGAGAATCAACTCTCTGGAAGCTATAATATAGCTGAGTGGAAAAAAAGTATTGTGGTGTTGCTTCAAATTTGGAAGGAGGCCATTCTCAGTCTCAAAGGACATACAATCTCTGTTTTGAAGCATTTCGATCCTTCCGCACCATACAACTTTTGTTTCCCTCAGAAGCAAATTCTGGAGTGGTTTAAAAATCAGAGTAGTAAGTCATCCAAGATCGGAATGGAACTACCTCAGAATCTGTACGATGATGATAATTGGAGGGGACTTGTGATATGTGCTGCATTTTCAGTCCATGAGCTTCCAACTGCTACCCTTGAAAAACTGGGTTCAGAAATGACTGTCGAACTTATGTGTCACTTAAGTACTGAGGAGTATTGCTTGAACCCTATTCCCATTTGTTCCACAACTAAAGAGAAATTCAAGTGGTTGCATCTCCGCGGATTTATCTGGCTGACTTACATACCCCGAAATTTCCTGGCAGAATTCAAGGACATAACACTTGTACTAGCCAGAATTTATCATGGTTGCCCAGGCTTGACTGTCGAGGATACCGGTATTCGTCTCTTATACAAGCACGAAGTGGAGGAGCTAAAGCAAGCAATGACCCAGTGCTGGACCTCCTTCTTTGACAATTCAGACCTCATCCGTCAATTCGTAGAAGAAGATGAAATTATTCAGTCGAGCGGTTGATGAATTTTGAACAAGGAATGATGTTCGGAGGACATATCAAGGTCTGATCGCTTTCTCCATCACTCCATGATATTCCCTTCTTCGTCTTCTCTCTCACATCAAACTCCAGCATAATTATTAATTACTGACATGATATTTGTAATATGCAGGACCACGGATCCATCGGGACTTTCATAAGCATTCCCCCAGGCTCATAGTACTTCTGAATTTATGGAATAAATTTTCTATGATTGGCTGTTGAAGAGAACCAATTAAATAAGTGCAAATAGTTTGCATGGTTAGTGAAGTAGTGCCTCACTGTTTAATTTTCGTCTTCCTTTTTGCCAGTTAGTACTACGACTTTGTCTTCATGAGCTCCTTATGAATAAAGGGATGCGTGTTGTACGTTTTATTTAATATATACATATTCCAGACTGAGTTATTCAATTAATAAGAGTTGATAGTTCTCTCAAGTTGTCTAACTTCTTTGCTTTTATCTTTGATTTGGACGAGTGGTGAACAAAGGTGCGATAAGTTTGTCAACTTATAACCAAATTGGATGGAGCAAGTCTAAAGTTGCAATGTTGAAAATAGAAAATCATGAGTAATTTTTAAGGAAAACTAAGAAAAAGTACATAAAAACTTCTCTTTTAATTAAAAACCATTTTTAAAGGTATAGTGAATAGTACCAGGAAAAAAGTATAAATGTGGTTTTTTGTTAAAAATGAACAATACCGGGAGCGTTTTGTTAAACCTTCCTAGTTTTTAATCCAATTGAAATGACTCGTTTGAATAACTTGTTTGAAAATGCTTTTAAAGTACTAAAAATCATTTTTAGTGAAATTGTTTTTGGGTTTTAAAAGCACTTGATCAGTGCTTTCTACAATGCAAGAAGCGCCAGTTATTTGTTTTTTGCAGGAAACACTTCAAGTTTTTTTTAATATTCACTTGCATTTTACTAAGGATTGGTTCTAAGAACACTTTCATTAGAAGTGCTTTCAGTCATTTTAAAAATATTTCCAAACCAGCGGAAAATCATTCGTTGAAAATCACAAGTTTGTAACCAATTTAGCGTTACGGTCTAGTGATATTCCTCTTATTTGCAAGTGAAAAGTCTTATGTTCGAATTTTGAAAATAACAAGTCTATAAGCATGTTGGTTACACTACAGACCACTACTACGTACATGGAAATGGCAAGTTCATAATAATTAAGCATGTTGGCCACACTACAGACCACTACAACATATAAGCTATTTAGCGAGGAAATGATCCCTCAGTAAAGGTGCTAACTTGGACGCTAAGTGGTTTCAGCTAGGCCTGGCAAACGGGTCGTGTTTATCGTGTTCGTGTCGTTTTCGTGTAACACCTGTTATCTTAACGGGTCGTGTCGTGTCACACCCGTTATCTTAACGGGTCCTTAACAGGTCGTGTCACTTTACCCAACGGGTAAAGTGACCCGACCCGTTATGACCCATTATGACCCGTTAAGAAAAAAATATATTTTTTTTAAATTTGCACATACCACACATTGCCACATAAATATTACTTCAAAACATTAAAACATTTCTCGTTCAAGTACTATATCTACACTCGAAAATAGAAGCCTAATAAAAAAAATAATACATACACTACTAATATATTACAAATATTAAATGTGCAAGGATAAAGAGTTTTGTTTTTAAGATTGTAAGTCTTTTTCAAAAGTTTACACCTCCATTTACAAAATCTTCAATTTACATCGATCATCATGAAATTGTATTCAATTTACACCTACATCTATATAATTATTATAGTTTTTACTTTTTAGGGATATAAAATTATTAAATTAATGTATATAATTATTAATATTATAGTTGATTCATACTTTTATTAAGTATATAAATTATAACATAAGATTTTGTGATATCCACATCCACTAGTGTAAATATTTTAAATTGAAGATCAAATTCATTCTTTGTATTCATATAGGGTCAAGGAGTGTAGCTGTAAAAATTCATCAAAATCAGAGTTAAAATAACCGTTAAATCTTGATTTTTCATTTATAACCGTCGAAAAGCTTTGTCCTGTTACTTGATCTCTGAATGTTTTTTTTTTTGTGATTTTTTGCTGATGTGATCTCCAAGCATATACAAACAATTTTGACGGTTTGGATCGTTGAAATTAGTTTTGGAGAATTCGTAAAACGATAGATTGACTAACACTTAGAGTTTATTTATACTTTCATTAAGTATAACATAAGATTTTGTGGTATCCACTTGTGTAAATATTTTAAATTGAAGATCGAATTCATTCATTGTATTCATATAGGGTCAAGGAGTGTAGTTATAAAAAATCATCAAAATCGGAGTTAAAATAACCGTTAAATCGTGATTTTTCGTTTATAACCGTTGAAAAGCTTTGTCCCGTTACTTGATCTCTGAATGTTTTTTTTTTTGTGATTTTTTGCTGATGTGATCTCCAATTATATACAAACAATTTTGACGGTTTGGATCGTTGAAATTAGTTTTGGAGAATTCGTATGCCATCAATCAAGTTCCGTGTGTGTGTGTGTATATATATATTTATTAAGTAGATTTAAATCTATTTATTTTGTACGTATAAATTATAATTGATTGGTATACGGAATAGTACATACATCACGTGTCACGTGTGTCATTATAAAAATAGTGAGATATGTTATGACAGTCATGTGTGTGATAAAAAGTTAATAACTTAAAAAAAAAAAAAATTTCTCACCACTTCTATTAATTTTCATTTTTCCCTCTCTTTTTTGTTTCCTTTTCAACTTTTTCTTATCATTTTCACTTTTCCCTCCAACATATTTCCCTAATTCCCTCACTTTTTTGTTTCATTTTCAACTTTTCTTAACATTTTCATTTTCCCTCCATTTTTTTTTTCAAAAAGGGCGACAAGTTGGCAACGGCAAGAAATTGATTATTGAAATTTGAATGGAAAGAAATCCCATCAAATTTCAATGGATGCAAAATCATGCAATGCATCATGCATATTAAATTATTAATTAATAATTATTATAGTTTTTATAAAATTTAATATATATATATAATTATTATAGATAGACTTAATATTTTGGGGGTATAATTATTATAGTATATATAATTATTATAATTATTATAAATTTTATAGTTAATTTAATATATATATATATATATATATTTATTATAATTTTTAGGGGTATAAAATTGTAAAATTAATGTATATAATTATTATAGTATTTTTTTAGGGTTATAAAATTATAAAAATAATATTCTGCTTATCGTGTATCGTGTTACCCACGTGTATACCCGAACCAACCCGTTATCTTAACAGGTGGTTATCGGGTTACCCGATAACCACCCGATTCGTTATCGTGTCGACCCAAACACCTGTTAATTTCGTGTCGTGTCGTGTCGGGTTATCGGGTCGTGTCAGAAATTGCTAGGCCTAGTTTCAGCGAGGAAATATAGTTGTCACTAATTTAGTCATTAAACATTATACTGTGCTGCGGCGTAAATTATTAATATTTTACCAAAATTTATTCAAATATCTATGAATTAAAATATGAATATTCAACAGTTAGATCATCAAAACTCATTGTAGATTGAGCCCCACAAGGTATCCCTCACAATAAGTTTATTCGATGAATCCTTCAATGGAAGAGATATATATAGATAATGCTTAGGAGATTAACTATTAGACCAAATTTTATAAATCACATAATGTTGTTGATGATTGAATTATTACTTAAATGTTAGTTAATGTACATATTTGCTATTGACCCACCAAATCAAAAGGGTCCATGAAATTGAAAATCAATCAATGTATACTAGTACAAAAAACAGTTTGCGCGATGCATGTCCTTCGTCATGCAAAGTCAAAAAATGTTGCTTGAAAATTAGCGCAACGAAACCTTCGTCACGCACCAACCATTGCGCCAAGGCAATGAAGGTAGGGTTTGTGTGACAAAGAAGTAACATGCGTCGCGCCAAACTACTTTGCATGACGCACACCCTTTGTTGCGCAAAGTGTCTTTGCGCGACGCAAGACCATCCGTCGCGCAAATACTACTTTGCACGACATAGGTTACCTGTACAAGAATACTCATTTGCTCGCCCTAAGCCCTCATCTGCTCGCCTTGGGTTGCAAGCTGACCTTTTAGGGTTGCCACTTCCTCCTTCTAGGCATTGACCTCTCATGTGGTCGATCTGGAAGAAGAGACACCTATCTCACCAACCCCGCGCCTTCCCCATACACCGAACAACCTTGCCATGACGACGACTGAACTTCTGATCTAGGACCTCAGTCAGGATTTGAAAACCTGCATCCTCGGGAACATTGATGTCCTCAATCGGGGTCTCCAGGGGAAGCTGCGATGTTGCTTCTTGGAGAGGCTTTAAAAAAAATTATTCGGGTTTAATTTACTATTTTGTCGATTACTTTTATTTTGGTCATTTTTCTATAATTTTGTTGATAAAGTTAATTTTGTCTTTTCATATCTTTTGGTTAACAAAGAGAATTTCGTTAATAGGTAGGTGAGGTTTATATTTTTATTTTTCTAAAGTTAGTCATATGTTATGATGACAAATGGGTGAGGAAAGAAAAATAACAACATAATTTGGTTTATGCGAAAGTATTACTGCTCATAATTTCATTTTGTGATGCAAAATTAAATTGTCTTTCTTGTAGTTGACAAAGACGGTTTTCTACTCGTTTTGATGTGCTTTTAAAATGATTGAAAGCGCTTTTAGTGAAATTGTTTTTGAAACCAATTCTTAGTAAAAATCCAAGTGGATCCTGAAAAAGCACTTTAAGTGCTTCTTGCAAGAAGCACATATCTGGTGCTTCTTCTAAAAAGCACTTAAAGTGCTTTTGGAACTCAAAATCAGTTTAACTAAAAACGGTTTCAAATATTTTAAAGCACATCCAAACGAGTCATTTGTTAATAGAAAGTTAACTGCTGACTCCGTAAGTGGGTGTTTTGTTTAAAATTTGTAAGTGATCCAGATCAAAAAAGTTGGTGTTATTGAATTTATTTCAGTTTTCTTCTCTTTCAATTTTAGTTGAATTTTATCATATTTCATTTTCTTAGTTTTATTAAAGAAAAACTGATTTAGTATTTTGTTATTAATTAAGAATAGAAAGTTAACTACCGACTACGAATGTGGGTGCTTTGTTTAAAATTTGTAAGTGATACTTTGATCCAGATCAAAAATTTGTAGTGTTATTGAATTTAGTCCGGTTTTCTTCTTTTTCAATTTTAGTTAAAATTTTTAATTTATGCATCTATACTCAAAATTTTAATTTGTATGTTTAAATATAAAAATTTACTAGTTAAAAAAGAAAATTTATGTCATTATATATGATACCTATGTCATATAATTTTGGGTTGCCTATCACTTATTCACCAATAATTTTAGTCCCTATATTCTTGAGCCAATCAAATTTAGAT